TTTCCGCACAGATTCAGCTGTCGGAGCATGAAGCTAATGTTAACTTATAATGCTAATGCTCTCTTACTCTCTGACACTCAAGAGGTAGAGGAGCCAAATGGCTGGCTCACTGCTGCCAACTAGTGGTCAGAGGCTGAACTACAACATAAAATGAACGGCTGGCAGGAAAGTTGACATTTTAAACCTTAATTAAAAAATCGATACAGGGCTTTAGAATATCGATACAGTCTCGGGAAATGAAATATCGCGATATTTCAGTGTATCGATATTTTCTTACACCCCTACCCTTGAGCGGTTGAAGCACTATGTGACCAGGGCATTCCTAAAACTGAATAAAAAGCCTGTGAGAGCTGGAACTGTTTCAGAGTGTAGAGAGAGATTGTTAACTGAAGCAGTCTCCGGACACTCTCCTTGCAAGTAAAACTTTATTGACTCTGTTGTGTCTTTCCTTGCAGTTCAGTTACATTAATGTTTGGTGTTTAAACCTGACACAACTACTTAGAGCTTGGAGCTTTAGGCAGAACTGATGCATTGCTTCATTTTGGAAACAAAAAAACTATCAAAAAACAGTTCATCTTGAAAACACTGTTACCAAATGTTACCTTATTGGACGTATGTGAACAATATAAATAATCACGAGAATTTATGACAGCTTTTCATGCCAAAGTCTAGACTAAAATCACCTTATGTTGAGGAATGACAGAGTGGGCAGTAGCCTTGGTGGCCATATTGACTCTAGCTATAGATGTACAATGTTTCATTAAAATTTGTCCAGTGGTTCACATGATATTTGGCTAACAAACAGGATTGACTTCAACAATTAATGTTAAAGTTTTAAGCAAATGTTTAGAACAATAAGTAGCACTTTGAGTGTGCGGTCTCTTTAACACAAAGAATGGACCATATGGTTTTGTGTATCGTAACTACCCATCCTTCCTTCCTCCCTCTGTTCATATTTTGTTGAGTCACTCTTGACCTTTTGCTCTCTGCTGACCACACTTTGGCCCATTTTCCTGTGTCTTTGTCCCTTGGCTTCAGCCAACACCAGCTCTCATTACTACAGATGGGATTTCACTTGTTGAGACAGACATGCACAGATTCACATAGACACCCGGCACGCCTGTGTCTCTCACCGCATGATGAAGTCAGCTTGGTCGATGTCCTGTCCGCACTTGCTGTGTCTCAGTATACCACCGTTGCCCACCACGGCACACTTCTTCAGGGGCAGCTGCAGAGGGTTGCTCTGGGTGCGGAAGAAAAACAGCTAAGAGTGAACAAAAATWAAAAAAAATCTTTACCAATTAGTTTTTCAGTAAAATCACGTCAGTAAAATCTTGTCCTTGTGGAACCTTTTAGGGCAAGTTAAATGGACCCTAGTGTCTGGGACACATGCACAGAAGTCTGGGTAACTGTTTCATTTTTTTCTTTATCCTCAGTTAGCTTGAGGAAGAATGAGGGAGACTCAATAACAGATCTACAGACAATTCGATCCATTGAGAACTAGAAAATGGTATGCAACTCCAGAGTCACAATCCCCCACAAAGCCTTGATTTTTTAGGTTTTCTGGGACTTTTTACAGTTTTCCATTGTTTTGCATATTTCTACAAATAATTGCAATATTGTCTGTGCAAGCTGTAAGCAGTGCTCATCAAATGTAGTATTATACATTCTCTTAATAATAGGGCAGGTTAAAGTATACATATAACAATCCTGTTTGATTTAATTTCTTTAACGGTTTGGTGCACCAACTAAAATATTCTGATGTATTTTGACTTGAATTAAACAATCTACAAAACCTTCAATCATGAGGGAGGTTTTAGTCAAGTTTGTGTTTGCATGACATTACTTTTTACTCCTTACTTTTAGTCTTCAACAACCTTTTTAAAACCTAACTTTAACCTCCACCACGCTGACTGACAAACCACCAGCAACCTCTGCTCTGAACCTCATGATCATCTACGTAGATTAAAGCTCATTCAGATCATAATGAATGGCTGTTGACGAAGGACAACGCATCTCATGAGGCAAAGGCCAAAAAAAAAGTCCTTTTTTCTCAGCCTCAGTATCGTTTCAGCCTGAGGCATGGATTAAAGGAGATGGTGGAAACAATTGTGCTCATTATTCCCCTTGGAGTGAGCTCGCATGAGAATACACACACACACACACACACACACACACACACACACACACACACACACACACACACACACACACACACACACACACACACGCACGCCTTTGGGCTATGGTTTACTTTTAGACTATTGTTTTAAACAGAGGGGGCTGAGTCAGTAGACAATACCCTACAAACAATATATCTAAGGGAGAAGTGGTGCCAACTGGTAAAACTTATTTTTTCATATTTATTGCAGTTAATGGTCAAAAGCAAACAACCATGTACGGTAGTCATGATTAGGGATGTCCCGATCAGATACTCAGTATCGGTATTGGTGGCAGATATGAAATGAAATCCTCAGCCTCCACTGCTGACGTTCTACCACCCAGCTTTTTAAAAACTGTTTATGATGTGGGGGGCCCTCACTTGATGACCTACTGAACCTCTCACTTACATCTGTGTGTGTGCCAGGCAACTTTTAAAATGCAATCGTTGAACCCAAATTTAAAAAGCAGTCCCTCAACCCCTCAGATCTCAACAACTACCGGCCCATCTCTAAATCACCTTTCCTGTCTTAGGTCTTGGAGAAAATTGTATCATTACAGCTTACTGCTCACCTGGATGAAAATAATATTCACGACCTTTACCAATCTGGCTTCCGCAAATTTCTCTCCACTGAGACCGCTCTTCTATGTGTATCAAATGGCATATACACTAACGTCTGCTGATAGTGGCTTCTACACYGTTCTGCTCCTATTAGACCTTTCTTCTGCCTTTGACACTGCTAATCATACCATTCGACTACGCAACCTGAGAAACATAGGGATATCGGGTGCGGTATTAAACTGGTTTAATTCATACCTCTCCGACTGCTCTTCCTCAGTACTTCAAAATCAAACTTATTCTGAACCAGCTCAACTCATTTGTGGAGTACCACAGGGTTCAATCCTGGGGCCCCTCCTGTTCCTCCTCTACATCAGCCCCCTACGCCAGATCATTGACAATTTTCATGTTGTCTCCTATCACTTCTATGCTGATGACCTGCAGTTATACTGCTCTTTTAATGAGTCAAGTTCCCACAAGTTTATCTCTTTTCTAGACTGTATTACAGAAGTCAACAAATGGCTCTCTGACAACTTTCTACTTCTTAATCTTGACAAGACTGAAACTCTGATCCTGGCACCTGAAAATAAGATCCCTCAAATAAAAGAACAACTGGGCTCTCTGGGGCCGACTGTTAAAAAGAGCATACGAAATCTGGGAGTCAATTTTGATTCAGATCTGTCACTAGATAAGCATGTCAWAAATCTGGTTTCCTCATGCTATTTTCAACTCTGTAACATTTCTAAACTTCGCCCCCTCCTGCCTGCCTCTGARCTGGAAATGGTAAATTCATGCCTTTATCTCTCAACCCGTCTTGACTACTGTAACAGCCTATTCAGCGCGGAATAACATCTCCGGTCTCCTCTCGCCTTATAACCCCAGACGCAACTTGCACTCACAAGACCAGAATCYTCTCTTGGTTTCCTGTACTCGCTTCAAGACCCGTGGTGACTGTGCCTTTTCCTCAATGGCTCCCAGACTGTGGAATGCCCTTCTGCCCTATCTAAGATCTGTTGATAACACAGACTCCTTTAAAAATCAACTAAAAACACACCTTTTCACACAAGCATTCAATTGAATATATTCTCCACCACACAACTTGAGTTTATAAGCCCTGACTAATAAACATGTGTGTTATTCTGGTCTAGTATCCATCCCCTCCACCCATAAGATGAGAGATAAATTTAATTCCTTTTTTTGTTTTTGTTTCAAATATACTGAAACCTATCTTATACCCAACTGTTGTGGTAATCTCCCATTTCTGAATCAAGCATGACATTTAATTAATATTGATTGATGTCGTTAATTGGTTAACAATGTATGTATTAACTGTACAGTAATAGTGATACGTATATTTGCTTTTTCAGTATGATAATGGATGTACAGCACCTTGTGAAATCCACTTTAATACTACCAACCTTGTTACCTGGAAAGAAATAAAAAACAAAGTTCTTGGATCGGTATCGGAAAGACTAATCATTAAAAAAATTGGATTGTATCGGGAGCCAAAAAGTCTGGATCGGGACATGCCTAGTCATGATTACAATAATAATAATAAAAAAAACCCGCAGGTCCCTGGTATACATTTTTAAACTAGAAACGGTTTCGCTTTCAGAGCCAGAACCCGCTGCTCCGTCCACAAAGCCACATGTACACAAGCTGCGTCTGAGCCATCGCACTAACCAGTAATTAACTGTCAAAGCCTTAATTGGCACATTCTCTGGCAGATGCTCCAGCCAGTTCTGTAGCTGGTGCAAGCTCAATGTAGAGCGGCTGCTCGTATGTGTTCAGACCACAGCAGCATGCAGGAAGCACAGACCGGAAACTAAAAATGGTGCAAAGTTTAGAGGCAGGCGATACTGCAACTACAAGCTGCTGTAAAAGAGAGGGGRAAAAAAACTAAACAAAAAAWGTCACTATTGGTGTGACTATTAAAAATGCTATAGGGTTAACACTGAACACAATCAAAATATATAAAATAAATTTCACAACAAATTTTAGATTTTTTTCTAAGTAAAGCAAAGACAAGCTGAAAAGTGCATTAGTGTATATAACTGAAAAGCCATTTGGCATTGATTGAATATCTTAAAATGTATTAAAATTGTGAAATAAAATGCTGAACTGTTCAACAATCAGCTAAAATTCACAGATTATTTTCAGAATTTACATAAATATGAATGGATATGATGAAATCCTTGGAATAGTTGTTGAAAAAAATGGTTTAACACTATAAAAAATAATTAATTCTCCAAATAATTAAAAAAAATTTRAATTTAATCGCAGGGTCGCATTTTCAAACCCTTCAGACGCTGCTTTGCCACTTTCTCCGCACCATCCCATTTCTTCCATTTACTCTCTCAGCCACACCTCCCCCGTCCTGCATGAATGAGCATGCACAAATTTCCCCCCTCAAATTAGGGTCAGATATTCATCACAGTCACCAACATGTTAGACTGCAGATATGCAGCCTCAGAGGCTGAGCACAGCCTCACTTCTCCTGATTAAAACACACATTAAAAACTCCTAGCAACAGCTAATGCTAATCAGTTTCTGGTTCGGTCTTGTTTTCTGGTACACACACTCATCCAGATGCACCAGCTCACACACACACCCATAATATAAACACATATGAGGCCGAAATGCAAACGCTAAGGTAACTAATAAAGCACCTATTTCTGCTCTTTTAAATATGAGAAAAAAAGAGGAAGTACATCTTCCTTTAGCATTTACAAACAATATAAATCAGTTTATCTGACCCTCAGCTTCAGCACTCATATCTTGTGTCTAAAGGAATTGTATAGGCCTACTTTTCTGCAAAAATGAATAAAACCTTGATATAAAAAGCAAAAACAAAAAGAAGTATTTGTTGCGTTTCTGTGATTTCACCAGCATTTTAAAGGTGTTTCCTCTCTTCAGTATGAAACAATGTAGCAGTAATCTACTCCCCACTTAAGAGGACGGCTGTGGACTGACCTCTCCGCCTCCATTATGGTTTCTGTGAAAGCCCACCATCCCCGCAAGTGTAGTATTACGCCGAGCGGGACAGAGAAGGTCTGACGTCATCTGGCAGTCAGAACGGAGTCTTGTGGTGGTTCTTAAACCCCCAGAGCAAAGAATGAATCTTTTGGATTCTTTTGTGTGTAAAAAAATGTGCTGATGTGATAAAAGGAAAATTATAT